CCCCCCCCCCCCCCACATACCCTCCTTCGAGTACAGTAGTTGCGAACTGCCTGGCAGGTAGACACACTCAGGCAGTGTGAGCTCAACTACCAGCCAGGCAGGTCCCAGCTAAGGACAGATACACCTAATTATAATAAAACTTACCTAATTAGAAAATACCGGACATTTTATATGTATGGTAATTTCTCAATTTGTTTCTCAGACAAAACCCTCAAATACCAGATTGTCCAGTATAAAACCGGACACCTGGCAACCCTACCCTTCCTTGCACCCGCCCTCCTAGACAACTACCCTATCCCCAGTCTGCTCCTGCTCCCACCTCCTGGAGAGCCCATGCAGTTCCGGGTCCCCAGAGCCCTGGCCCAGGCTGGGTGGAGGATGCAGCCAGGTGAAAACTGAAAAATTATTCATTTTTCATTCTTTTTTTTAATATGTGTTTATATTTTTGGGCTGCAAAAAACAGTACTAAAAAAAACGGGTTCCAACAAAAGTGAAAAGTTTGGGAAACCCTGATCTAGCCAGCTCTCTGTCCATCTTACAGTCCATTTATCCAATCCATATTCCCTTAACTTGTTGGCATGAATATTGTGGGTGACTGTATCAAAACCGTTGCTAACGCTGGCACTGGGGGCTTTGGGAGGACCAGAAACAACTTATTTGAATATTCATCATTTGCTTAATGAATATGCAAATGAATGTTACTGGTCCTCCAAGAACTCATGAATGGATTTACTGGTCCCCGTGTCAAAAAGTTTGGGAACCCCTGGAGTAGAGAGACAGGGCCATGGTGTGGTCTTACATGACCTTCAGAAGCACTATGTAGGACTGGGGAAAAAGCATAAATAAAGCTTTCCTGTTCAGGGCAGCAGAAAGGTATCTGTGATGGAACCTAGATATAGTGAGCATCTAACAACAATTAGTAAGTTAAACTACAAAAAAAGCAATGCTAAAGTTGTTTTTGGAGGGGTGGGGAAGGGAAGGAGGATTTAGCATACCTGCATCCTGATCCTGAACATTTACTGTGGTTTTACTGATTTCACATTCTATGCTATAAGTTAGTATAGGACTACTAAGAACCTTACTGAAACAGTGTTATGCAAAACATGTTCATAGAAACTTCAGTCAGATTCTGTCTCCTACATCCTGTGTACATGGAGAAGGGGCAGGAGCTACATCTAGATACACAACAGAATTTATTAATGTGATAGCCATTTCCTGGGAGCTACCTAAAGATCTGCAGGATAGAAAAAAGGATCACCAGCTCTCCCTGATGCCTTAAAGAGCATTGGAATGGGAGGAAGAGACTTCCTAGCACCGGGACAGGAAGACAGCTGATGATTTCAAAGAGGTTTGGGTTCAAGACAAACTCAAGTGACCGTAAAATCCAACCACGGTTGGGTTGCTGCCAACTGCTACAGACAATTTAACTGCACAAAACAAGTCCTACAAGGTTCATGAAGACTTACAGTCAGAAACATTTCATTCTTTAGATGGAATTCTAAAGGTCTTTTTCCATTGTATTGTATGAATTATGCATTAAAATTATGATATATTAGGTTAATAAGAAACTTTCATTTTGGAAGTCTGCAAAGCACTTTACAAACTTAAATTGATAGGAACACCTTGTTTTCATGCTGATACTGCCTCCTATTTGACTGTAGTATAATTTAAAATGAACACAAAATATCCAATGAAGACTTTTTTAAAACAACAAAATTATTTGGACCAAAAATAGTTGGATTTGTTTACTCAACCAAACACTTAGAAAAGCCAAGATGAGGGAACAAAAACAGAGAAACACTGAGTGAAGTATGAGCAAAGTACAGTACAAAATTCTGAAATGATTTAGCGCATAAAGACAAAGATGAACAGTGTTGTTTGGAATTGGAATCCAGCTCAAAACAAAATGTATTTGTTCAATTTACTTTCAAATGTATTAGTTTTATGGTAGGGACTCCTTAGGATTTTTTCCCCCTGATAATGTCATGAGGTTTTGTCTTACACAGTTCTCCCCACATGCAGCCTACCCTTCTATCTACAAAATGAATTTATTTTAAATGCATTACCTGTTTTTTTCATCATCAGTGAAGAATAGGTTTCCTAAAAATGATACTGGCCTAGATGACCTGAAGCTGATATAACAAGTGAGTCCTACATTTATCCCTTCTGGTGAAACTGCAATAATTTGGCCACTTGGAAACTGCACAGAAAGGGGATTAATCCTTTCACCATCTTCAAATTCAAGCACTGGAACTTCAACTTGTAATGCTGACGGCCTGTGTTAAAAATCAATAATAATGATGTTTATTCCCAAAGGGCAACTGTAACAAACCTGATTCATTGATCAATTAAACTGCTTTTTGCAGGTAGATATATGAACAATGATCATAACACAGATTTGCTTTTTAAATTATTAGTCAACAGAAACTAACTGAAAGAATTATAAGTCTTTTAACATTTAACATGGCATTTTGTTTTTTTACAAAAGTACTGCAGTTAGTTTTCTGTAGTGACTCGTTGCAACTCAGCATTCTGACAGAACAAATTTTACAGATCATTGTTACCACAAAGACCTAACCACCTGTATTGCTTTTATTTGTTCCTTAAAATTGATCTATTGCTAAAGCTTGCCTCAATATTGACTAAATTGTATTAACACTTACCAAATTGTTCTACTGTTCAAACCAGCTTTAGTTCCATATCTATTTGCACAAAATGGAATCTATTGGACAAGACATTTTGAAATACTTTTTTGGTCATCCTAATTTAGGCCCCAATCCTTCAATTAAACCTATGTGAGTGGATCCCATGGCCCATATGGAATCTTAATGATTCCAGCTGTATTACTGATAACAGTCATCAATAAGTTCCAGGGGGTAGCCAAGTCACTCTGTAAAGGATAAACTTAAAAAACAAAGACTGGTCTGGTAGCACTTTATAGACTAACAAAACATGTAGATGGCTTTGATATGTTAGCATCTATTCACTGGAAACTATGGTGAGGACATGCCATCTACATGTTTTGTTAGTCTATAAAGTGCTACCAGACCAGTCTTTTTTTTTTAAGTCATCAATAAATTACTATTTCGCAACAAAAATTTTAGGACATTTACTCCATCTACAAATGACTATCATCTGTAGGAAAGTGGATGCAAAATGTTCACTCAGTTCTCTGACAGAGCAATACTTACACACAGAAATCTGCCACTAACTGCACTGGAAAATGAAATTTACTATTTTACCACAGAAAAAGTGCATCACAGATAGAGGAATACAAGCTTCCTAACACTGGTCATCCCAGTGCTCCTCAGCTCTTGCTTGGAGAGACTAGTGCTAGGGAAGGGAGCAATTCAAGTTCTGTCTAATATCCTAACAGTGTCACCAGCTGTGGTAGCGACGAGGAGTCCTGTGGCACCTTATAGACTAACTGAAGTGTAGGAGCATAAGCTTTCGTGGGCAAAGACCCACTTCGTCAGATGCAGGGTCTTTGCCCACGAAAGCTTATGCTCCTACACTTCAGTTAGTCTATAAAGTGCCACAGGACTCCTCGTCGCTTTTGCAGATTCAGACTAACACGGCTACCCCTCTGATACTTGACAGCTGTGGTAGAGGTTGAAACTCTCTTAACCAGGATTCTCTGGTCCGGCAACATCTGTGGTCTGGCAGGCCCAAGGATGTTTCCGGACCAGAGAGTTGAAGTAGAGTGCTAATTCCTGGGAGCCCTGCAGGCTGGCACAGCAGTGTGAACCCAACATGTGCCAGCAGAGCTTCCTGGCAGGGCAGTGGGAGTTCCACATGTGATAGTGGGGCTGCCCAGTAGAGCAGAGGGAGCTGGGCTGCCGAACATGACAACAGGAAATGGAGACTGAAGCAAGAGCCCAGGGCAGCAGCAAGAGCCTAATGCATGTGGAGGCAGCGGGGCTGCTGGGTGCTGCAGCAAGAGTCCAGTGAGTGAAAGTATTGGAGCTGCCCAGCAGGGCAGTGAGGGCTGTCAGGGCAATGGGAGCCAGCTGGGAGGCTGGCGGAGGAGCCAGGGCTGGAGGGAGCTGGTGGCAGGTAGACCAGAAATGACCACCCCAGTTTGGCAAAATCCCTCATCCGGGACTGGTCAGGTCCCGAGGGTGCTGGACCAGGGAGGTCCAATATGTATTAGCTTTGATATGTTAGCACCTATTCACTGGAAACTATGGTGAGGACATATAATCATTTACCTCATGTAACAAAACACTATTAGATGGTAACTTAAATCACTATTGCTTTGACCCCTATTTGAACTGGTGCTCTAAAATTTTAAAAACTCTGGATATCATTACAAGACCTATTATTCAAAAATACTAAGCTGTACAAAGTTATATGGTATGAAACCCATGGTAAACAACTCAGAAAGGTATAAGTTAACACAGTATTGCCCAATTCTGGACTAATACATTTTGTTATACAGAATGAAGATTAAGGGAAAGATTGCTTTTGTTTTCAAAACTTCGATTTAATAGTGGGATATTTGGATATCTAAAAAATTAATTAAAAGAACAAACATTAATAAATCTAATTTATACACATTTTTACATTAATGAATTATCAACAGTTTGTTTTGTTGAGATATAGTACAGCCTTGAATAGATAATGAAATCATAGTATATCCAGTGTAACTGAATGATATGTATATCAAAATCATATTGACCCAAAATAACTGTTTATGAGGATTTCTAATCAATTTGCCAGAGAAAAACAACAGCTACAATGTTTTCTTCTAATCAGGACACAAAGATAACAGGCTTATGACATGAATCTCTGGCTGAAGTAACTGAGAAACTCGCATAGCTGCTACTTTTTTCATAGTTCTGCTGTGCTTTCCAAAGAAGTGAAAAAACATGTGACACATTTTGGGAGAACAGAACTAGTAAAGAAATGATACACTATGGATATAAAATGCTTTTAACTGCCACCATTTCCTACTAAGTATGGTATTTTCCTCCACTGAGCAGTGCTATGAACACCAATCTGTCCAGCAATTATCAAGTGTCTTCTGCAGTGGAAAAGCATGATAATTATAGTGCTCATGGGAAATGAATCTGAAATTTAACTGAAGATTTACCTTGAGTAGTCTTTTGGAATGATATTGACATATGTCTCTGTTTTCATATCCAGAGGAACTGGCACCAATATCAAAAGCGGGGGATCAAAGCTTATCCTGGGTGACTTGAGAGTACCAGACAGAGTTAACCGTTTGTAATGAGATGTATTATCATTCAGAAACATTGGCACTTCAGCTCCATATGTCCCAGGACAAGCTGATGAAAAATTGAACAATCAAACACATATACTAAAATAATAAAAATAAATCATTTCAAGTAACCAATTTTTAATCAAGCATATTGCTCTTGTTTTGAAAATACATAAAAACAAGTCTAACATGAAAAAAGCTGCTATTCCATGAATATTGTCTACTGAGATAAGTTAGGAAGAAAAAATAGTTACAAGTGACTTGTCCTGGAATCTTAGAACCCAATTGCATATTGTTTATTAGCAGGGAAACTCTGAAATCCATTCTTAAACACCATGAAATGTGACACCATCCCTTTCTATTTATACTCTCAGGCAGCCATACGGGACCTCTAAATCAACAATATAACATTGAGATCCATTATCTTAAAATATAAATTCAACCTACCAGATTACAAAGTACTGTTTTTTAACCTAAAAATGCCTCTCAAGTCTCATCTGCAAATACACAACAAACTTCTACGGTGAAATTCTCATTGCACAGCAATAAGTATCAAAACTTACACCGACTTCAATAGGATCAGGATTTCATCCTATATATTTATTACATCCACAATAATTAAAATAAAAACCCTTCAGGTTTGCAAAAACAAACACTCAAAATTTGGGAAATGCTACATTAATGGTTAATTTAACTAGGCCTATGTGTGCATATGTTATGATACAGTCTTTAATTACCTGATCTGATCAGATAATTTTCCATATGACCTCTGCCTCATTCATTGCAGTTTGGACTGTTTTCACTGAAAAGGTACTATTCAGTGTTTCTTTTCATCTTAATTACTCAATGTGTGTCTCTGTGTATTATTTATGGCACATCATCTAAACCTCAGTTATTAATTTTGTCATAGCCTTGTCTATGATGGTATGATACTTCTTCAATGAATTCACTTTACAATATCACAAAGAGGTAAGGAAAATGAAGACCAAAACTAGCAAGTCTCCATTAATTTTGAGTGACAGACAATTTAAGACCTTAGGAGTTAATTTTTCAGAATACTTAGCATTTTATATCACTTTACATGCTTCACGCGCAGCATCTGTAGCCTTCAGCTACAGCTATGAGTGCTCAGCGTTAGAGCTTAGTAATTCTGGGGGAGGGGCGGGAGCAGGAGATACAAAATTTACCGTAAAAAAACCCACATTTGTTAGTGCACCAAAATTATTTGCAAATTCAAATCGAATTTAGCAACTATTTTTGACCAAATTGAAAACAAGACTTTGAAAATGCGGTTAACATCAAAAACAACTTATTTGATCCAAAATTCTTTTTCCATTTTTATTTGCTTGTTTCATCAAAAAATAACTGGGAAAAAAAGTTTGGGTTTAAAACTAAGCAATTTTGGAGGGGAAAGGTATTTTTTCCATCTGGTTTCTATACCAAAAATCAACTATTTCCTCAGTTCTATTGAGCATCTCTTCAACTCAGACTCTCGATGTCTGCAGTTGGATACCCAGAAAATTAAGAGCACATAATGACCAGCTGTGAAAATTATGGCTTATGGTGACATGCCCAGCAACATTTAGCAACTCTGTGGCAGAGGCAGTCATAGAAGTCAGTTCTCTAGACAGACATCCCAGATACGTCTACACTGCAGCCTTATTTTGAAATAACTAATGTTATTTCGAAATAAGGATAACATCCACACAGCAAGCTCATTATTTTGAAATTATTTTGAAATAACAGGCTTCTTATTCTGGAATAATAAACCCTCAGTTCGTGGGGAATAATGCCTATTTTGAAATAGTTATTTTGAAATAGGTGTGCATAGATGGGGCAGCTGTGGTTATTTCAAAATAATTGTTCTCCAAGGCTTCTGACAGCTGCCCCAGGTAGACATTCTGTGCATACCCCTCAGATCTCTATAGTTTCTCTTCCCCTGCAGCCTTTAAAGCTGCATCCACATGGAAAAATGCTTATGGCACAAGGAAGGCCCTGACAGTCCTGTATCACACAGCAGTGCCCTGCTCTGCCTTCCCTGCTGCCATGACAGACCCTCCCGTTCTCACCGAACCCCCCACAGCTATATGCAAGCCGGCAGTGAGCTCTGAAGCCCCTGTCCAGGACTGGAAGAGGAAGGCCCCTTCCTTGTCTGGGGAAGAGATCCTGGATCTCATTGAGGTTTGGGGGAAGGAGGCGGCAAATCTTCAGCATTAGGTGCAGGACTGCCGATGTGTACAGCCAGATGGCCACCAGCCTGGGCCAGAAGGGCCACATGCACACCAGGGAGCAGGTGCACATGAAAATTAAAGAACTTAGGCAGGTGTACACGAAGACCAGGGAGCAGAGTTCCCACTCAGAGATGGCACACCAGTCATGCTGCTATTATGAGCAGCTGCACCACATCCTGGGAGAGGAGTCCGCTCCATCCCCCCTTCCTTGTTGTGGACTCTGGCCTGGAGACACCCATTGTCAGCCTCCTAGAGGGCGGGCCCATGGACCAGGAGGAGGAGATAGAAGAGGAGGAGGAGGAGGAAGATGAGGCCAGCACGGACACAATGCTCACCAGCTAGAAGGTCATCCTGAGCCAGTATCCCCCTCCGAGGATGTCACCCAGTGTTCGGACAAAGCCAAGGATGGCCCATCAGGTGAGTTCCATCACTTCCCCTAGACACTGCAGGGGGAGGCGACGGGTGGCAAGGGGCTGCATTCTCTTAACTCGGCCTTCTCATCATAGACAGCGCAGCTTGTGCACATAAGTCCACATGGAGCACCAGTTCAGAGCAGACAGCTGCATAAGAGGTTGCCACAAAGGAACCTTGTGCTCCTGCTCACAGGTTTTCTGGAAGGCCTGTCATACTCCCAATCCTGAGGTGGGACACTTTTCCACCACAAGCCTCCACTAAGGAGACTGAGGTCACAGACACACAGAGCAGTGTCACAAACAGCACACAGTCATGCCCACACTCCCAAGGCAACATCCACTCCTGGGCAAATGTGGCAAGGCAGAGGACACTGAGTTGCTGCATGGAAACTTGCTGGAGGGAAGGAAGTGGAGGGGACCCCACCACCACACTCCCCGGAAAATGGCATCTACCGCTTACGCACCTCCTCCACTACCATACCCCTCTCCTCGCAGTGCACAGGGATAGAAATCCTCTCTCTGTGGGACACCGCCACTGCTGGACCTGGTGTGTGCATGGCATGGCCCCCTACCACACACAGGCTCCTCAATATTGACACAGGCTCCTCAACATTTACCAAATTGTTCTGTTGTTCAAATCAGCTTTAGTTCCAAATCTATTTGCACAAAATGGAAGCTACTGGACAAAACATTTTGAAATACTTTTTCTGATCATCCTAATTTAGACCCCAATCCTTCAATTAAATCTATGTGAGTGGATCCTAATGGTTCCAGCTGTATTACTGATAATAGCAGTCATCAATAAATTACTATTTCTCAACAGAAATCTTAGGACATTTACTCCACTTACAAATGACTATCATCTGTAGGAAAGTGGATGCAAGATGTTCATTCAGTTCTACTACTGAGGTGTAGGGGTAATGACATCTGTGCCCCTGCAGTACAGCGTCCACTGTCAAGGCCACAGATGGCCTTGCTCGAAGCACATTCCCTTCTTCTGAACTGAGAACTTTCTGTGTCAGCTCAGAGATGAGGACTAGGTTTCGTGCACAGTGTCTCCTGGGACGACAGCCCTTCTCATTTTTCTGCGCAGCTGAACCAGCTGTGACTGGAGCATGAGCCACACCTCCCGTGCCAGCCTCCCAACACTGAGAGAACTGCAGGTGCTGGCAACGCTGGGAAGATCTGGAGCGAGAACACATTCCCTGGCTGCATGCCCTGCAGTGGTCGCTTGAGCGGCAGGAGCAGAGGTTGGATGCTGACCTGGAACACTGCTGCACCACCTGGCAGGCGCTGTTGCAGCAGGTTGAAGAATGTGCACAGCATATACCACTGTCATGAACTGCCTGGTCGTTGCCATTGAGCAGTCCAGCAGTCTCCCCCAACACCTGTTCCTTCCCAAGTCTCTCCCACACCCAATCCTGCTTTCGCTCCTGCCCTGGCCCACCCATTGGCTTCTCTTCCTAACCCTTCCCTGTGGCCGCCAAGGGTCTCTGCACACTAGGGACCATGTGAGGCAAGCACCAGTCTTAAACCCATCCTTGAGCCCCAGCTCTCCCTTCCTCCCTTCTTCTTCCAGATTCTTTCCCGAGTCCCTTCCCAGTTATATTTACCCCAAATTTAAAAAAAAAACAGTTTATTCTTTAAAAACAAAAAACTGGTTTATTGTACCTTCAGGGAAGGAGGGAGGGGAAAGTGGGAAAGGAGGACAGAGGAAGGTAGGGATGGTATAGTGGAGCAAGGCACCGGCTCCTAGTGGGGAGGCCCTGGGGAGGGTTACTGGGGTCCTTGAGAGAAACTCTCCCCCAGGGCCTCCCAGATGCACAAAGACCCCTGATGGGCTTGCTGGATGGCAGTGATGCATGGCTGCTCAAAGGCCCTGGCCAACTAATTGGCCTCTGCCCCCCACCCTGGCAGGAAAAACTCTCCCCTTTGTTTTTGTTTTTTTTTTCTCTCTCTCTCTCCCTTTAGAGAGGGAGTTCTCCAAGTAGAGGAGAAGCAGATACAGGACTCATGAGGGAAGTGTGTGTTGTGTTTGGGGCTTTCTTGCTTTGTGCTGAGCTTGTATGTGTGAGTGAGGGTTGGTGTGTGGGTTTTTTTGTTTTTGTTTGTTTTTTCCCCTGTGTTTGTGAGGCTTTTTTTTTTCTTCACTTCCCCTTTGCCTTCCTCCTCTCCTTCAGGGAGTGTGTGCTGTGATTGGCAGGTGGAAACTGTTGGCTTCTAATTAAAGTTTGAATTCTAGAATCCTCTGCTGATTGGCTGTGCCTTGGGAGGGGGAGGGACTTTCAGGCACTCCAGGTCTTTATAAGGCAGTGGACAAGCGACCAAGGAGCTTGCAAACAGGTGAGTGCTAACAGGGAGATTAGAGAGGGAGTTGGGAAGGGGGCGAGGTTCTCTTGCCTTTCTTTCTTTTTAAATCCCTT